GCAGGGCTGTGACAGGAGCTGCTGAAAACATGACGTGAGCTAAAACTGTAAACAAAACGAGACTAGATCCAGGGACTATGACACCAAGATGACAATGCATCGTGCCATAGGGCAAAAACAGTAAAGGCATTCCTTGGAGAAAGACACATTCAGTCGATGTCATGGTCTACAGATAGTCCAGATCTCAACCCATTTGAAAACCTGTGAGGGAAATTTAAAAAATGGTCCACAAGACGGCTCCGACCTGCAAAGCTGATCTGGCAACTGCTATCAAAGAGAGTTGGCACCAAATTGATGAAGATTACTGTTTGTCACTCATCAAGCCCATGCTTCAGAGACTGTAAGCCATTATAAAAGCCAAAGGTGGTGCAACTAAATACTAGTGATGTATTTTGAATGATCTTTTGTTTATCTGTTTTTCATGATTCCACACTTTTTTCCTCAGAATTGAATGATTCCATATTTTCCCTGTGCTTGGTCAATAAAAGTTATATTCACTGACTTCCACAATGTTTTCTCTTCATTTCTTTGAGTGTTCCYGGAAGTCAACAAATTGCACTTTGGAATGACCTTATCATTGTATCATGTTTTTGATCTGAGTTTGTTTTATGGAATGAAATGTCTGAATGAGTGCTCATCCAAGACTGGTGATTCCATACTTTTTGCCAGGGGTTGTAATTTTGTGTTTCATATGTCATTGGAGTTCTTTATATGAAAACAAACAGGTTTTAGGTGTTTCTGATGCAGAGAATTATTAATTAATTTGAAAATTAAACATGCCTCTCGGTGATGACTTCATGCTCAGAGATCAAAGCCAAGTAGCTCCCAGTCAATTTTACCCTAAGTTTTAATTACTACTTTTGAACCAATTTAGCTTYTTTAGGAAGGGAGACGACTGAAGGGAGAACCCACAACAAACCAGTGATAAAGAGAATCGATAAAACCAAAGAAATACCCGGTGCCAAACTAACAACACTGAGGGAAACATGGAACAGGCTAATATCCTCATGCTGGCCACTGAGAAAGTGGATGCCATCATGAAGGACAACTTTTCTGCATTCTCCATTAAACTGAACAAAATTAGAGAGCCCTTCACAGACTGGAAGAAGCAGAGAGTCGTATCTCAGGCTGCCAGGCTAACCTCTTTACTGAGCTGGGTGCATGCAAGAGGCACACTCACACAAAGACAACCGATGGARCTTCAGTGAGGGTATTGGGGGGAAAAATTCTCAGACTTTTTTCAAAACCTGGCTACCTCGAAACTACAAAGGGTCCAGCTGGATAGGTGCCGCATAGGCCTTGGTTCTGCTTGACCAGGAGTCACAAAATTAAGATACTGGCAAGCAGAAAAAAACAGTCATTAAAATATGAAGTTAACAAAATAGTCATTCGCCAGGATATCCCACAAAATATCAACCAACAAAGAATAAGATTCAACTCTGCATGCCTGGAGCTGATTGTGAAAAATGTCAGGTTCCGGATGCAATATCCTGCAATACTGAACTTCTCTCTCAACAATAGAGTTCTCTTTCCACACAGCAGAAGACCAATGGATTAAAAGCCCTGTGAGCAATGTGGGTCATGTAAAGTACAGGTTGGTGCACAGATGCTCATAGTGGCATTTCAGTTCTAAAACTTAATAATAATTCTTTTGCCATCCTGAATTATTATTTTCAGTTTAACTCTTGCTCTTTTTTCAGCTTTTTTACAATTCTGTTTGTACCATGGCTTGGTGTGTGGGGGCCGAGGG